TATTTCAATTATTTTTTATTTTTTATTTTTAATACTACTTGATATAAGTCGATCTTTCGCAGAGCTAAACATTTGTTACTGTCGGGTCAAGAATTAAGTTAATTTTTTAAGCAAAATAACATTAATGAAAATAATTCAATAGGTTACTACAGATAATACCTACATGTTTTCATACTTTGAAATCGTTATATAATTACATCGTTATCACTATTGTCAATTTCGGTTTCTTCAATATGTATAATTAGATTATCATTCAATCGTTGATTTCCAACCCAATAGTGTGGTTCAAACCATTGATGATTTTGTGACGTTTGGCATTGAGATGGAGAAAAACGTTTTCGGTTGGTGTAGATGGACTAAGTAGAAATCACAATTATTTGAAAAAAAAATTCAAAATTTTTTGTGGGGTCAGCTCAAGGATGGAGCCAGGAATTAAAGGGGGCAAAAAATTTTAAAAGGTTAATATACGAATAAAATTTATATATAACAAAAAGCCGTTATATAATATTACCTACTACAGTTGTACCAACGATGTTTTACATCATGAAATTCCTCTATAATAGTTTAAGTTTAAATTCATAGTAAATTCTCGTTCAATGTAAAGTGACATATAATCAACAAGAAAACTATTATCCGTTTTGTTACGAATTTTTGTTTTCATATGTTTCATTGTTAAAAATGTTCGCTCCACAGTCGCTGTTAAAACAAGTAGTGTCGATACCGGACAAATCAATTTAGTTAAAATAACGTAACTCTCCAACCTTTTACTTGCAACCAATTCAGTGCATTAGGTACCTAAAATCTAAAAGCATAAAAAAACCAACACACTTCATTATCTCAACATTCCAAAAATAATCCACTAGCAACAATCCAACTACTTATCTAACAATTCAACGATATTATAACTACTCAACAATCCGACACTACATCTAAGAATCCTAAATCAATTCAAGGAGCTAAAGGTCAAGCGAAGTACCGAATCGCCTGGTTCGTTGCGGCGTTAAAGTAAGTAAGAAATTAGAAGCACAATAAATTGAAGTTTTTTGTGATGCTTTCAAAAACAAACCAAAGCCTGTAAATAAATTTTGATCAAGAAACCATATGAGTAATAAGTTACTGATTAAAAAGTGTAAAATGTAAGTAAAAGAAAAATCATAAACATAAATTAATAACCATCAAACACAATAATTTAGAAGAAGACAGGAAGCAAAATGTGAAAATGGAACAGCCTCATTAGGAATTTAGGCCTTTTGAACAAATATTAGATATCTTTATTTGGACAACAATACTTTCAAAATCTTACTGCGTTTCTTGTTAAGGCCAACTGCACAGTGTCACAACCAAACCTATCCAATTATCATGTCATTCAAATACTTTCACAATCCATTAATCAAATAATCATAAACCCAACAAAAAACGCAGCCTTTTGTGATGGAAGAAGGCAAAAAAATGACTGGGCCGCCACAGAACTTTAGCCAAACCAATAGACTGTTTGGGTTTCTTCACAGATTTTCTGGGAAAGATGTAATCCCTTGTTTGAGCCCCATTTTCGGTAAAAAAAAAAAAGAGTTTTGAAACAATGTTTTTTGGAGAATGTGTAGTTAAAAACTAATGAAGACTTCTAGGTTTACATTTAATATTACTTTATTGGAGATTATATGATTAAAAATAATAGAGAGAAATATATTTTAGGATTAATGGAGCCCAAATAGGAGCTAAATAAGATTATATATATCTTGGGAGAGTTATAACTCAAAAGATAGTTGTCGAAGTTTGAGAGCAAAAATTTATACAAACACATACCGAAAACCCATATTTTCGATGTGAGATTCAAGCCCTATACCTTGCAATTAGAATCATGACAATCAACCACAATTTGCGATCCATGCATTCACTCGGACCGACTTTACGCTAGTCCATGACTAGTTTCAGACGAACGCTACTTGAGGATGTCACCATGTGAACTACTCGATTGCAATCGAGAGACGAGTTGCATGCTCTGATATCATTGATATAGATCTTGATAGAATTATACCTCAAAAATTAGCGGTTAAAGTTGTAGAGTCTTAATCTATATAAATCACACATTGAAAACCCACACTTTCATTATGGGTTCAAGTCTCATACTTTGCAATGAGAATCATGACATAAAAAGTCAAATATGAAAATACTTACGGTCTACAATAGCTGCATCGACGGCTCCAATAGGCGAGTGGATACTGAAAGATTTAGGGTCAAAAGGATTTGAAAATTTCAATTTGGTTTTCAATTTCTCGAACTAATGGGATTACGTTGAAGAAAACAAAGGATGAAAAAGGGTTGGTCTTGTTTTGGGCTAAAATTGAAACAAATAATGGGGCCAAACAGTTAAAAACAAAAAAATGGTTGTAAAAATTGGGTTGGACTAGGTAAGTGAGATTAATTGTTTGTGGGCTATTGACTAAATTTAAGAACTTTTTTCATTTGATTGGGATATTTCACTGGACATGGGTTTGGGCAGCACTTATAGCCCAGTGCTGCCCCCTGCCCAATCCGCCCCCGCGGTCAGCTAACCTTACATGAGGACATGTAAATACCCATATATTCTTGGACACGTCGAATAAAACCGCCCGAAGAGGAGCAAGGATTAATCGAGGAGGGCTGCTGCAATTGACGAAGCAAATGGTATTCTTGGACGAATTTTCCTGTTATTTTTATACAAGTTAATTTTGTAAAATAATATAGAAGCAAGGATGATTTTCTATAGGGAATAAAATAAATTGAATGCCATGTCAGGTAGAGAAATGGTTCGTGACAATATTATTATTGCATAATACTCCCGTCAAGTTGGAGCATGAATGTCTATCATGCTCATCTTGCCAAGACGACGTCCGAAGAACTAACTAGCCAATGAAGACATCTATCGGAGTGCTACATGTTGATAACCCATATGGCTACGGGTTACCTTCTTCAACTTGAATCACTTCAAATTCGAAGTATTTTGGTCGGAGTGAATTTTTAAACGTAAGGGCAAACACTGAAAATTTATAAGCACTCAAGCTTTGCAAACTCAAAACAACTAAATGAACCAAGAGAAAGTATCGTATCCTCATTGAACAAATTTTCCATCAAACACTTCTATCTTTAAACATCTTTTCTTGTTCTTAAATGGGTCTCTTTCATCGTTTTAGGTTTATGGTCGACTTTCCATCATATATTAACATCCATGTAAGCAAGCCCCGTTACACCAACTAAATGAGTGGCCTATATGCATTGGAACTTTTTTCAGTTATTTAAACGACTTTGTACAAATTTACCTTGTGCATAGGGAATAAGTCTACAATGTCATCAAAGATTGAGAGGTTTACCACCAAGTTTTAGAAATTTAAGATTGATCTGCAGTTCTGCACAGGGCACATAAACTAATGGTGCAATGAAAGCTGAAAAGAGTCTACCCAGGTAGAGCAGAAGTAGCAAAAGTACCTAAAACAAAGCAACAAAATCCACATTCGGCCGTGCTAATAACTGGTCCTCTCGGAGAGCTATAGCTACAGCCTCCTGGGATAAATTCGCGACCATTCTCATTGTCAAAGCCGCCGCCGCCGCCGCAAGCCCATCATGGTCTCGGCTCCTTGCTCCACAATCCCAATATCGATTCTAATGTCTGCATCCATGCAACTCTGTAGACAAATATGTACCTTGTGTTGTCTTTATTTTTATTTTTATATTTTTAATTATAAAGGAATTTTAGGGTCATTGAAATGTGTGTTTGCCTTTCACTATCACTATGACTTGTTTTTGTGTGTCACGGATGCCTATAACCTGTGAATCCCCCATGCTTTCACACCGCAGGCATCCCATATCCCTTCGGCCAATTGCCTCAAATTATATTAATATTGTCATTGTCATCCCTGAGTTAGGCACATGATAATTATAGATCTACGCAATTTTATGTCGATCATTGAACAATAAAAAGAGAACCTATGATTTTGCATTATCCACAGCTGTTTTACGTCGTAATATTAGCAAACGGAGAAATTCACTTGGGATAACTTCTTAAAAAATCTTCACTAACTAATTTGAACTAGTTACTTTTGTAAAGTGTATTAAAGATTAAGAAGAGATTTTAGTATTCACAAGAGTCGACGAAAGACGCTAATTACATTATCATGGACCTGAGACGTCTTGCTCCTCTTTAATGAATTCCACTTAAGGACCTCCTACATGTGAACAAAACAACCAAGATATTTTTCCACTTGTCTATGCTTTTATCATAGAGTTGCTCATCGATGTAAAAAACTTCTATAAATTTATAAACTAGGAGATAGGTGAGAGAATTTGAAGGATTTTTTCCTCATCAACGCAGGACCGCCTTCTTCATCCAATACCATAGGACCAAGATGAGGGTTCTTTTCACCATTTCTTTCACGGTACTATTTTTCTCTTGATTATTCTGGAGAATTTAACTTAAACGTTTTACCTCTCTCTCTCTAAACAAAACATTTTTCTTATTTTTAAGGAAAACGTGGCAATGTGACCAACTTTTGAAAAATATTTTTCATGAAAAAATGATAATCAAATATCCTAAAATTAGGAACTTGAATGAAAAAAAAAAAGAAGACATTTTTCATAAAAAATAAAACTAATCACACACCACGAGAAAGAGGATAAAGAGTGTTGGAACATCCAACCAAAGCATTGCAAATACCAAATAAAACATCTAACATAGAAACGACAAACGAATGAACTATGCAAAGGCATAACCATCAAACACACCCAAATAGCTGTGATGTCCAACAGGATTACAAAACCTGTATTCAAAAACTTGAAATTTTATTGACCCAACCTTTACCCAATTGCCTTAACAAACGCGGCACCCCGTAAGCGTAGCCACCGCCACCTCTCTAGTACGTGTCCAAACCCCACTACACTCCTATTTATACTCCCCTCTAATCCATCTCATTTCCCATCCCAAATCACCACACACATACAGTATTCACATCTTATCTAATTTTCTAACAATGGACAAGACTTCGGTGTTTCTTCTTTTCCTCTTTTTCCTAGTGGCAACGCAGGCTTACGCCCTAGGTGGAATTGTGGGAGGCAAAACAGAGGTGAAGAATGTGAAAACCAATAAGGAAGTGCAAGAACTGGGCAAATACTGCGTGGACCAGTACAACAGTAAACAGAAGCACGTTGCAAACGGCAGAAAACTGCTCACGTTTTCTCAGGTGGTGGAAGCGGAGAAGCAGGTCGTTTCCGGGATCAAGTACTATCTCAAGATCTCTGCAGCCACTTATGGGGGCGGAGTTCCCAAGAATTTCGATGCTGTTGTGGTGGTCAAGCCGTGGGTGGACTCAAAAGAATTGCTCAACTTTGCACCTTCAACTCCAGCTCCTACCAAATAGATATATACCCACTGATTTGATCTAATACTTGCCCTTTTTCCTTTCTGTTTTTGCCATGACAAGTTAAATGTTGTAATGGTATTGGAATAAATAATAAATTGTCGTCATGGTGTACCTCAAATCTTTAGTGGAATACGGATATGGTGAAGAAGACTAGTTAGCACACTCATTTTCTGTTCAAGTCTTCAACAAAATAGTTGAATTTAGGCCGACGTAGATCTGAAAACCAACATCTGTTTATGTGTTTAAAGGTAGAGGACGACAATAACCAAGATGAGATGCAATTGTTGATGTATCAAACCTCCCAAGTTGGTTCCCACAAACAAGAATCACTAATAGACTGCCCTTGAACACACGAAAGAAAATTGTAAAGTACGCATATCATCATAATTTCAGTGACGTTCTGTCGCTACATTGGTTAACTCTCTGAATTCTTAACTCCACTCCATTTTGTGAACATTCTTCAACTCTTAGCTCCAACTCTTAACAAAAATCATTCTTCGCAAATGAAATATCATTAAAGATGATTAATTAGGCCAACCATTCCCTTGGGACGAAATTTTGATTTCCTGAGATTAACTCTCCAACTTGAATCAAGCCCCTCGTACCTAAGCTTACCAGGAAGTACGTGAAAAGGTATACGTCAAATTGGCTTTAAACATCACCCTCGTACACAACCAGCTACCCTTTAATCATCTTAAATGACTAAAAGCAATACCACAACCATCTAGGTAACTGAAGGCATTATAAGATGCACTTGACATCAAAGCACATAGCAAAGTCCGAAATTATAGATACCATAATCACTCTCTCTATTCTTCCGGACACAGATAAGAGTTCATGAATTTGTTAGTTCCATGTTGACACAACAACATTTAGTACACCAAATTCTGTAATATTATCCAAACTAAACCATTCTGACCTTCGAACAATAATAGATTTACATTCTTTCCTTTATCAAGAATCCCATTATCTTTCTCGGGGTCTACCGATCATATGGAAATTCCGAGTCATTCTCAGTCACTTTAAAGGGCTCAGGATGTTGACCGGAGCAGTAAAGATTCCACATCTTAAAGTAAGCGCGTTCCAAATTCTTCACCTGAAGACAGAACGGAGAATTAGTCAAAATTACAAGTTATATACATTGCCATATCATAGAAGCAGGTGGCCTTACCAAGTGTCAAAGGTAAAAACAACAGAACAACTAACTTCAAAACCACAGAGAAACGAAATATAGGATAACTCACCCAGCGTGATGTGTCGAACAAAGGGCAAGTATAACGTGCAGCCTTGAGTTTGTTAGTAAGATCCTGAAGCTTCGAGCGATTCAATGCCAATGATACAGCCTTGTCCTCGTACTCTCTCATACTGCAAAACAAGATGTGATACAAATAAGCAAACATAAAAAATAAAAGCAAATCAATTGGTGCCCTCCAACATTAGCATTGATGTTTCAGTTTTAGCACACGTAGATAATGACAAAACATAGGTAAAACATTATTTGGAGTCAACAATTAAAATTGTGTGTATTTTGTCATCAGGATAAGCAAGCATGGAATTAAAATTTTTATATCTTCCGTAAAAACATCCCCACCACTCTCCAGGCCCGGCCAGCACATTTTATAAAGCTCATCACAAATTGTAGTACCCACCTATTGACAATCATCTCCTCCCCAAGCCCTGTGGCCAAACACAGTGAACCAGCAACCCTTGTTGCCATTTTCTCAAGGGGAAGAGTTATCATTGGCAGACCAGCCCAAAGAACATCCGTTCCTGTGGTATGTGCATTGCAAAGTGGCCTATTCATCAGGAAAATCAAGAGTTACATGAAAATTACTCAGTAAATCTATGCTGCACTAAGGTAGTCAGAGCATGCATACGTATCAAGAAATAGGTCAGCTAATGAACTGCGTCTAATATGTTCCTGTTTCATTGCAACGTCTGTAAAAATTATTTGGTCTGGTTGCACACCCTGTGCAGCAGCATCTGTACAACAAAAAAGACTATTCAATTAGGTATTCAGCGATAGCCAAATTACTAATGCTTCATTTGTATAAAGACCAATATAAATAAATATGCATCCTCTATAAGGATGACATCCTCAAATAACATACGTGCACGAAGCCTCATCTCTCCTGCAGCTGGAAACCTAAGAAGCCAAAGCGCACTATTTGGCACTCGTTTAAGAATATTACACCTGCATGGATTGAAGACGACTCAATAAGAATGGCACTCAGTTTGCATAAATAAAACCGATGGATAATGAAACCAGAATATACCAGGTGGTAAAAATTTCAGGGTCCATCTTGTAAAGCTGATTGAAACAAGCAAATATAAATTTGTCCTCTGGTAGTCCATAGTGTGATCGCTTGGGCTGACAATTTGGATCCAGAACATCCAGATTTTTCTAAACAGCAGCAAAGGTAAAAATCAGCACATCAAATTTTTTGAGAATCTGAAAATATAGGCCCCGTACGGGATGGCTTAAAATCCAATTAAAATTGAAAATATGGCCGTTATTGGGTCCCACCCGTCTAATAAAAGTCAACAATAACGGCTATATTTTCAATTTTAATCTACTTTTAATCCCTCCCAAACAAGCTAATAATGTTCAAACTCTCAACATTTACCTGTTTATAATCATTAACAAAGTAGCAATGGGGAAGATGAACAAGCTTCTCGGAGTATATATGCGAGTATCGCATAGGTGAAACAAACTGCAATTTGACAGGTAAAAACTGTTAAAAGGTAAGAAACAAAATAAAAATTTAAAACTACATGAAAAAATTATAATACCTCATCCGTGACCAAATAATGAATGTAGGATGCCCCCGTGGTTCCAGGGAACCCCATGTATGAAACCTGGATAGGAGCAGGTTGCATGGCAAATAATTCATTGCGTGCACCCTGTGAGAAGGAACCAAAGATTAGAACAGCAAAGAAATTTAGGGCCCGTTCAGTAAGGATTAAAATCAGATTAAAATTGAAAAAATAGCCGATATTGTTGACTTTTATTAGACGAGTGGGACCCAATAACGGCCATATTTTCAATTTTAATTGGATTTTAATCCCTACCGAACGGGGCCTTAACCTCCATTTGGCAAATTTATAAATGGTTTAGAAAGAGAAATAGTAGAAGCAGTGGTGGGTCCACGAAATGCGTGGATAATAATTAATAATGAATGTGGGGTTGAAATCAATGTTCGATTTCTACTGAATGTATCATCCATTTGTAAATTTGTATCCAAACGGAGACTTAATAGATTATATGATAACATCTGCAATAAAATGCACTAGTAGTAGACAAGTACAACTGATATTAAAGATGTACAATGTAATCCAGCTATTTCAGATGCCTTAATGGATCATTCTACCAGTATGCCTCATCAATGCAAAATTAGGAGTCAAACATTAAAAACATTGACAAGTCCGACAAATTATATCAATTCGATACCTTAGTGTAGCCATTAAGGTTAATGAGAATCTGGATCTGATCTTCATTGATCATCCTTGCAATCATATCAGATGACATAGATGACACGTCTATAAAATGCTCAGCTTCTGACTGGATTCTCAGCCTCCATTCAGTGCCATCATTTGGACTTAAAGCATAGCAGAAAACCTAAGAAAAAAAAGCATCTTATCTATTTTTTTTTTTTTTTATATAGATAATCAAGTAATTTTATTAATCAAAGGACAACACAGGAAGTGTATTATCAATTTAAACAAGAAAGAAACAACATGAAATTAGGCCGCCCTTCTATAGGATTAGTAGCCGCAACAGTAAACCAAGTATACTAAGTCAAATAAAACAAATTCTCTGATCTGCTTTGTCGTTCGTGTTTCGTCTTCAAAACTATGGTTGTTCATTTCTCTCCACACAACATACAACGTAGCCCGTAATAAGATCTCAAACAAGCTTACTTTCCTTATTTCGAAGCTTTCTCCTCCATGTCAACAACAAGTCCTCTATACGCCTAGGCAACACCCCATCCGTACGTCGAGAAGTTGAATATCGTTCCGCAGCCAACGAACATCATCACAACGAATGAACAAGTAGTCAATCGTCTTCCCGTCCCTCTTACACAAATAACACCACACAATAACATAAAAACATTTTTCTTCGAAGATTATCCACCGTTAACACCTGCACCCCACAACCGTCCATAGTAAAAATGCCACCCGTTGAGGCAATTTACATTGTCATACCATCTTCTAGGGAAATGAACTCTCCACAGGTCCCAATAAAGATCTAAAATAAGTGCGAACACAAAATATACCATCCCGTGCCAATCTCCACCTGTTACAATCGCCCTCTCTCACCCGGATGTGCACCTCATGTAAGGAGGTCAAAAACAGCGCATAATCATCCAATTCTCAATCCTGTAAACCCCTCCCAAAAACAATGTTCCAGCTAAGACTCTCATTGTGTATGGCTAATACATCATTCATCATAGCAGAAGGCACCAAAGTAATGCTATGCAAAGAAGGAAACCCCACCTTTAGCGGTTGATCTCCACACCAACAATCTTCCCAAAATCTGATATTATTACCATTCACCACCACAAAGATCAATCTATCCCGAAAATCACTACATCCTCGTCGAATACCTCCATAAACGCACCTCATAAGGACCACGACCCTCGACCGAGCACCAGCCCCCTCTCCAAGCATCTTATCACACATTGATAATGAAAACTCGAAAAAGTTCAACTGGAAAAATATTCAAATGACCAAAAGATAAGTTTGCCAACCTCAACATTTTCTTTGTCGTGCATGCCAAATACTGAACCCATGAGATGTGATAAAGGGTGGTTACCAAAGTCACTGCTCACATATCTAGGAAAGAAAAGCAAAATTCAGTTGAGCAAATTTTCTGATTAAAAAAAAGGTGAATTTTTGAAGAAAGAATTTTTAAAAACTTCCATAAACTTACCCTACTCTTAACCTGCCATTCCTTCCTCCACCCCTTATAGGTAATCGAAGTGGATGGTTGAAAGGAGGAAGTGAATAACGGGATGCTATCACTGAACAGTGTGATGCATACTTGCGACTACACATACAGAAGAAACACATAGTGAAAGACTCACATTGAGTTTTATTAATATCCAGCTAAATAAAGAAAATAATTTCCTCACCTGATTTCGAGTGCAAGAAGAGGGTCAAGGGGATAAGCTATTGCATGGAAAGGCTGCACACTTGGAATAACTGACATCTAAAATAGAAACCAAAGAAGAGTTGGAATCAGACTTTACATTTTTTAGATAAAGATAACCAGAACCTTACAGAATAGCTGGTTGCTACAGTAAACACAAACTGGGATGTGGGGATTGGTTTTAACAAGAAGGCTTTTGGCAAACCTTAATCTGCCTCCTAAGTATCCCTTCAACTTCAATAAACATCTTCTCCCGACCATCCCAGTCACAAACACACTGAAGTACATGGTAAAGAACAAATGTCAATAAAAAAATTCCAATCAGTAATTTCAACGGTAGAGAACTTTGCACATAAATTAATAACATTGATAATGAGTTGATGTCGAGTGGTAGTGGAATGCAGAGGTATAAATGATAAGATAACAGAACTCAAAAGATTCCTCCGTTGGGAAATCCAAATATCAATGCCAACTAGAAAAATATCACTGTATTGCCACCACCTGTTGCAAATCCCTAATATGGGATACAAGCATCTGAGTGTCAGATAAAATGTCCAAAAACCATAACGTTAATTCACAAAGAGCTCTCAAATGAATGTGTAGAACAAGCTTAGTAACAAAAAACTGGAAATTAATTTTGTTGACTAAATCTACAACATTTCCCAAAAATACAACACAAAAACACACCTTTTAACAAGCAATTTTCTAGGTCAAGAATGATTGCAAGTAACCCTGTTATATACGGTTCTACCATAAATCTAAAGACAAACTAAATTACGAGTCCACTCTTAATTTGTCTTTCCTTCAAGATCTTCATAAGCTTTCCCAAAAAAGGAAAACCATCTCACCATTTGACTCTCGATTCCATGAGATTCAAAACAAACTGAATCATGCAATTAGTTTGTCACGATCCCATAACCACAAGGAATAATCTGTAAAAAAATATATATATAATCTGCTGGGCCCTTTACTAATTGGAATTAATTCTGCAGTCATATTTCTCTTTGTCGTCAAAAAACATTTATGTCTAAAACCATTTTAAGTACTGAGCACATCAAATCCCAACTAGGTATCCAGGTAACCGAAGTTGTGATCCAACACTCTTCCTTTCAGATCCATAATTCAATAAGAAAAATGTTTCTTTTATGCAAGATTTCTTAAGTTGATTCCAAATATATTTTACCCATTTTTTAGTTACTGAACTAAAAATGGCATGCAAATTACTTAATTTAGGGAAAATATACCTGCATATTTACACTTTACATACTGGACTTTCTAAAAATTAGAGATTAATTACCATACTTTCATAAAAGACAACAAAAATACTCTATTAAATCTCTGCCCAAAAAGTTAAACCAAGTTACAAATATACCAGAATAAATGGCCCAAGAAGACAAAAAACCCTAATTACAAATACAAAATCAAACTCCATGTAAAATATTCTGTAAACTTCACATATCATTTTCAACTAACAAATTGTTCTTTTAATGTTAATTACTTGAATCATAATTAAATACCATTTTGCCGATATTTTATTATACCCTATTACTCTTTAGAAATACTGATCCATTATCTAGCTAATAAAAGAAATAAAGCTTGCTTTAACAAATCTTGATTTTCTTGAACAGAATTTCAAAAAATTAAGCCCCCGTTCCATTTCAATGGAGTAGTATTTTTTTTTTTTTAAGAATGTGGGTTTAAAAAGAAGAAAAATGTTGGGTTTACGTGTAATATCATTTTATTGGAGAATGTGTGGTCGATAAGAAGAGAAAGAGAATTGAATTATAATTTTAAGGGGGCCAAACAGGGGCTAAACACAAGTATAAAAAGATAAAATGGAGGAGCATAAAAGAGAATAGAATAAAATCTATAAGAACAAGGGAGAAATCGATAACTAAAGGATGACTAATATTGCAAATAGAGAGCTGAAGCTGGATAAAGGGGTTAACATAAAACCCTTTATATCCTTGCCCTTCTTGAATCTAAGCAAGACAATTACCCAGAAAGGAAGAAGAGGCATGCTGGAAGCTATCAAGACGTAGCAGTCACTCATCTTTATTGCGTTGATAACTGGAAATTTACCTTTATGCATATTCAAATCAAGTTAAAGAGTATCCCCTGTTTGGGCTCTATTTTTGTAGTAATACATTTTTCTCTCTTATTTTCAACCACACATTCTCCAATAAAATAATGTTACACATAAGCCCTAAACTTTTCCTAATTTTTAAACCACACTCTCTTCAAAAAAATCACTATTCCAAAACACATTTTTTCCCAAAAATTAATTTTAATGAATGGAGCCCAAACAGGGTCAATATCACCACAGATTTGAGTTTGGAAAACTCGAACTCTGATTTTTTGTTAACGGAAATATCACAGCAGATTGACGGATATCTGTGACTTATTTTTTTGCACAGAAGATATATTATTCATCAATTTTTGTGGCACGCCGATCTGAAAGAAGGGGAAATAGTAAATGAATTACAGAAAAGAAGGAACATGTTCATATGCAGGGGAAGAAAAGAGATGGAAGAATATGTTCATTTACAGGTGAAGAAAATGAAAATAAGGACAGAATGAATTGGATCTCTCGATTTCTTCATAAACAAAGTACAATAGGCAGGGATATTTTAGTTTTTGCCAATTCTGTACACATATACTAACAAACTTTACTAAGGGTGTAAAGATGAAATTTCAAAAAGACGGTACATTATTTATAACTAAACCCTATATACGTGCTGATTTTGCATATATCTCCTTAGGTAATTATTATTCAACATAAAAAAACTACGAAATTTACAATTGTACATATTACACAAAAATAGCAAAGATCAGCCATAAAAACTTGCAGAGCAGCACAGATTCACAAAGAACTTCTGAAAGAGAGCCCAGAATACACAAACAAGTAATTCTCTAACAACTAATCAATGGCACGTTTTTATCAACTCTCGAGCTCAAATACGAGAGAGAGAGATCATTGGAAAGTGAATTTTAGATGCACCTGTAAAGTGTGAAGAAGGTTACAAGTTGCTTCAGGAAAATCAGGGCGCAACATCAATGCTTGCTTATAACTTTTAATAGCTTCTTCCACAAGACCGCTGCAGGCAGCAACACAAGGTATGTAAAGCAGAATTAATTTGGGAGTGCTAGATATTATTCCACCTGAAATATCTAACAGAAACCCCTTAGACTAGGGGCATAGCAACCTACCTGTCCTTATAAGCAGAAGCCAAATTTGCATGAGCCTCAGCCATGGATGGCCGGATGGCAATAGCACGTAGGTAGTCTTGAATTGCTTCATTAACTCTTCCGATTTCCTTGTATGTGTTACCCCTGTTGACTAGGCCATCTGCTGCCATTGGATCAATCCTCAGGACCTCATTGTAGCAAGACACAGCATCCGCATAATTACCCTGTCATTCAAGAGAATAATGCAATTGCTTTTTCTCTACCCGAAAACTATTCCAAAGTCCCTTAAACAGTTTCAGCACATAGTCGATTTTGAAGTAAAGATTAACACCGTACCTGTTGTTTGTATATTATAGCTAAATTATTAAAAGGGGCAGAGAGCCCTGTTGTAACAGATAATGTTGCCTTGTAGTAGTTTGCAGCAGCACTCATCATGTTCCTTCAAAAATTTGAAAATGGATTCTTAAAACCCAGTATGGAAACAAATACCAATAAATCCACGAAACAGTGATTTCAGTAACATAAATTAACAAAGTTCATCACAGTAATAGTAAAACATACCATTCCATATAAATATTCCCAAGATTGGTGAGTGCTTGAGGATGGTTAGGTTGAAGAGACAAGCATTGCTACGTAAACAAACAAAAATGAAAATAAGATTGAGGTGCAAAACCATGAATTACACACCAAGCACTCCAGTAACAGTGGAGGAAGACCTACGCGATAACAATGGATTGCTTCTTCCACTCTTCCAGCATCTTTCAATGCATTTCCCTGACAATGAGTCAGATAATTCACAATCAATTCAAACATATGAGTAAAAGATCAATAAATGGAATAAACATAAAATCAATATATTTTAGAGAGAAATGAACTGTCAACCAAGTTATTGTATGCCTCCAAGAATCCAGGATCGCAAGCAATAGCTCGCTTGTAGTTGAGTATTGCCATGTCAAGGTTACTTTGCTCATAGTAGATACTAGCCAGGTTGCCTGCAAAAGATGGTTCAGGGTATCCTCAGAACCTCGGACAATTTGACAAGAACGTGAAGCAATATTCATGTCATTTTTTGGTATAACTAAAACGGAAATGATGTCTTATTGCTACAAGAAGATGATTGTTCGGGATAATTTACAGTAGAATCTTCAGGCTCCAGCTAAAATTTGTTGCATTGGTATTTTCATAGCTGCTTACACGTAGATTTCAAAAATACAGATAAACCACTGCTTCACATGAGCAGTTTCAGAAAATCCCCTATTGATTCAATTCAACTTCTCAAGATTTAAGGTCAGGAGTTGTGAGATTTCTACGGAAAATCCAATTGTTGATTTTTCGGACTCAATAAAGAATATTATAAAGTTGACAGACCAGATTGTATTTTACTGCATTCTCGCATTTAATCAGTTTTAAGGAAATCTAGAAAGGACATCAGGATCTTCCTCTGCAACTGAACTTATGTCTTCTTCTCTAAACCTTCTTTGATGTCAGCATTGTGGGTTTCTTCTAATTGGTAAATAAATCCTTTATTCCTGAAATCCCATTGAGTAAGCCACGATATGAAGTGTAATTTGGGTGGTCTGATCAATCAAATATTTGGCCTGTGCACGTATATGATCCCCTTTCACATCTTTGAACTAATCTATTTATTTTTTCCTAGGTTTCTCTTCCTCTTCTTCATTTTTTTTTTGGGGGGGGTGGGGGGGTGCATTTCAATAAGCATAATCAGTTGACGTCCTATCAGGAAACTGAAAATGAAAAAGAATTTCAATCAATAGTATGTGCTCAGGCTTCTACAAGAAAAGAAGGTAAGAAACCAGAGTTTACAATATTCTGTATCAAACATTGCCCAAATTGTTCTCAGAAATGCCAAACCACGTCATACTTAGGTAAATCAACATACAACGCACATGGTAAAGATAGATCAATCAAACACGTAAAATCCTGATAAAAACACTTACCAAAAGCCATAGCATAGTCCGGACGTGATTGCAAAGCTCGTTGATAACATACAATAGCCTCTTGAGGCATCCCCAAGGCCTGGAAAATTCAAAGATAATCTCGTTTTTCTCCAGATTCTTGTCCTGGCATTGCAGCTACCCACTTACTAGCAAAATGTCGGAAAGCTTACCTTATAAACATTTCCCATATTCAAAAGGGCATCTGAGAAGTTTGGTTTCAATTTGACAGCTTCCTAGAAATAGAAAGAAATAAATGGTAAGAAATTAAGAACAGAGGCTATTAACAATTCAACAAGAATAACCAAAAATATATGCACATTATTCAAGCATCCAAACCATAGAATAGTAGATCAATCATCAAAAGAAATCAGAAAATTAATACCTTATAGTACTGCAAGGCCCTATTAGGCTCGCCTGCCTCCATGAACAGAGAAGCAAGATTGGACCATGCGATAGCAAAGGTAGGCTGTAACCTGAGAGCCTCCAAATAGCAATTGTATGCCTGGCGAAGAAAACATTCTCAACCCATTCAGGACGATACATGAATACCAAAGTTTAAAATCATGTTGAACTCAGCATAATGCGGCTAACTTCAAAACAGGCAGTAGCTCCTCATAAACAAAATGCACAGAAATAGATTCTACATATATTTCATGCAGGCAAAGGACCAAAATTATAAGATCATGAAATAACAGTATAGAGATTGGACACCTAAATAAAAGATCCTAGAATCTTAGTATCATGCCAACAGACCATAAAACGAGCAGATTTAAATGAGTAAAAAGCACAGAAGTACGTAATATAAAGAAGCCATTTCAATGCTAGCTTCCCTGGATGCATTAGAAACAATGTTAAAGACAGTTACCTCTTGCACCAGTCCTTGAGCTTTCATCAGATTTCCCAGGTTACTATGAGCATCAACCTATAATAGAAGTTATTAGTCAAAAAAGAAAGCAAAACAAACTACACAGAGAATACATAAATGAAACTAAAAATTAAGCATTACCAAATGCGGGTTCAATGTAAGAGCTTGGCGGCAACATTGGGCTGCCTCATTTAGCCTTCCTTTCCGCATGTAAGCACTAGCTAAATTTGACCATGCATCCGCAAAATTAGGCCGAAGCTGCACAATTTGATGAAAACACAGTTATATATAAAAGACTCGTGTATGAATAAGGATAGGTAACTGTGGCAAGCACTCTCCCAACTCTCCTCAAACAAATCTCTATATTCTATTTCACTTTTCAGTTTCACTTCTTTCGTCCTGTCATGTTCCCTAACATTACCTCTCATCAGAATGGGTAAGGTTTTAGTAATAGTCCGTGCAACATAAATCTCTCTAAATCATTTACTAACTTAAAAACATTTGAACTTCAAAACATCAGCAGAAGTGATATAAAACTATTTTTCACATCAAAGTTGGTCTTTTCATTTTGCTGCCCAGAATGAGTTTTAAGTCTTCAAGACGTAGGATTCTAAAAAGAGGAGTTAACATTTCATTATTAGGAGTGGAAAATGAGGGAGGAAATCCTTGATATAGGGGCAAGGCATTAAAAAATAATGCACGTAAGAATATTATTAACATAAATAAAGGTAATTTTATTGAAAAAATAGAACTTCAATGGAGTTCTCAAATTGTTTATTTTTTATAAACAAAAGCATCACCTGGATAACTTTTCCTGCAAAGCTAAATGGACAGTGGTCCACTGGAATTTTCAGTAAAATGCTCAGGTGGGTTCACAATAGACAAGAATCTGTGGTATTATAAGAAAACAAGTTTTTTTTTTTTTGGAGTAGTTCAGATCAGCATCCCAGAAAGAGCATACCAAGATGAGCATATTCTTCTAATCCATGCCTTATTTCTATTCGGATGGGAGAAGTAGAATTAGATAGATTCTATGATTAGAACACCAACCAGTACTCTTAAAAGTAAACATTAGGAGAGTTGCATTACAGGATATATAGTAGAGCTCGTACCTCAATTGCAATCATGTAATATCGAATTGCAACATCGATATTGCCTTTCTCCTGTAATACAAATAGAGAATAGTGCATATTATCGTCTTGACACCAAACTATAAGAATCTTCCATCCATAAACATGATAAAAAATACCTTCCAAGCATTTGCCATATTGCCATAGCACTCAGCAAAGTGCGGATCGACTCTAAGAGCCTCTTCATTCTTTGCGATACACATATCAAAGTCATGCAACTGAAACACAAAGCAACATGTTCTTGATTCATATTTTGTAAAGTTGTTTGAATTTCGAGTTGAGTTTAAAAACAGAGAGAACAAAAACTAGAAAGAAAGATGTATGATTATCTCATGCATATAAACGTGTAACCTGATAATAAACTGCACCCAACAGAAGAAGATTATCAGTGCGTCGTGGATTTCTTTCAAAAACAGCCTTGCTATGCTCTAATGCCTGCTTATAGTTTCCAGCTTTGTAACTCTGATGAGCAAGGTTCAAGAGCGCATCTTCATCAACTGCAGCACGAGGGAACACAACACAAAACCACGAAGTAGTCAATTAACCACTCATAAACCCAAAAAATTTGCAGGCACCCTCATGATGTGTGTTCTGTTCTTTCTCTGCCAAATTTCCTAATTACAGTTCTTATTAACCTCCATTGCAAATTTTAAATCTTGGCAAAACAATTAGAAATCCCACTCCCACTCATGCAAAAGAACTAAGTAAACATCTCTTGGGAAATTGTGACTAATGGTTTTGGTGTTGCCACTGAAATCAGTTAGTGCTCACATCTATAAACTGTATTCAAGATGAACACGATTTTCCAGAATTTAAATACATCTTATGAATTAAGGTTGGCAATAATGGGAACAAATGTAAGTAAAAATTTGAAAATATCTCAAGACGGAAAAAATAATTGCATATAATTTTCTTCACAAGAAAAATGTATTTTCTTTGTAAGCTAAAGTTACAAAACTAGATGGAATTACATAAATGAAGAAAAAAATTCCAATTCAGACGTATATTAAGAATATGAACTAAAACAATAAAATAACTCAACTTACACATTTTGAATCTTAAAAAACGAGTTGGTCCTCAACGTTTCTTTATAGTTGCACACCCAGTCCATATCAATGCAAACCATCTAAATCTCTGTCAAATCATCACGACCCTTACAAGTCCAATCTGATGGAACTAGGTCTTGTTTTCAAACTTGGTTTAGTGGCTTGAAAATTTGAAGGCATGTTTCATAGGGCCATGTAACAATTTAATGAAATTTGAAAGTTCCGACAAGGGAAATTGAGACTTTTTAAATGTTGAAGAACAGCTTTGCAAGGACCACTGGAGCAATTTTGTGTTTGCATTATTGAACTTGGGTATAAGATCAGGACAACAAAATAGCACATCCACACTTCCATTATTTAATGCTTCTCATAATCTTCTAGTTGCTTAAGGTAGTAAATCTCTACGAAAAATAACAATTTGGTATCAATGGTTACTCTCTATGATGCTCGGGCTCAGGTACGGGATACTATTTAAGTGTCGGATATTTTATTTTCTAAAATATAGAATACGAGGACATCAAAATTTCTAAAACAGGTAAATCTTTCAAACTTCAAAAGAACTAAAATAAATGAATTCAATAGTTCTAAATATAAAAAGAAAATATGTAATCTTTCCGAGAAAATTTCAGAAACAAAAAAATAATAATAAAACTAGCATTTGGAGCATAGTTTTAGATCCCAAAATGAAACGAGAAAATAAAAATTCATATATTTTTAGATATAATCAACGAAAAAATTATAACTTTTCTTTCAACCCACAAAATAAAATAAGGACTCATAGTTAGTGTGGGCTTATCTACCGGCCCATTTTACGCACAAAAGTGTGAAGTGGAAAACTGAAAACCCTAAAAATATCTTAAAATCTTCACTCAGGCCAATATTCTTTCTCTGTCCACATAAAAAAGCCCAAAATTTAAAACAAAAAAAAGGCCCAAGTCCACACTCTTTCCTCCTTCCCTAAGCCTTCATCAAGCTTCACGACTTTCTGTTTCTGCACTCTGCAACAATGGTGGCAGAAAAGCTCCAACAAGTTCCTCCCATGGCCGTGTTTGGTTGATTTTTGCCATGTCCGCCTCATATCTCATACTTGTACCCGTGTTGTGTTGTGTCGTGTCGGGTCGACACCGGTACTCCGGCCAGAACAGAGAGTCCAAGAATCACTAGTTATTCTCATATAAAGGATTAATTAGCTTTTCATTTCTTTTTTCTCAATCAAAAATTCAAGTTCTGTATGTTGATTGGATATCCATATGCTTCTTCAGAATATTTCTTTCATTTATTAATTGACTTATGAGCAAAAGGTCCACTATCAACATTTAGAAGATCTCAAGATCATAATTACTAAAAGCTTATTTTTCATAACATAAAGATCCAAACACAAAACACCATTTTGGTGTCATCGGAGTAATCCAACGTCAAAATGTAGATAACCACTGAAAAAATATCAATGCACCAACTCCTACCAATATATCATCAATATCCTACACGAGTATACTAAAGGTCAGACTTTAATCACATAATTCAAAGCCTAAGGGATGTAGTCCTGCACCAAACTCGAGAACTGGCAGATAAAGCAATAAATATGAGTAAGTCGGTCTACCAAGACGTCCACTATCTAAACACAATGCTCAAGTGACTAACACTGTATATAGTCTTATCCCCTTGGGGTCTCAATACATATTCAGGGCAAAAAGAAAATCTTCACTAAAAAATTAGCTCACTTCTTAATCTTCATATGAAACTGATTTATGTTTGCCTTCAAGTCCCAAACAAGAATTTCCCTTCAATATCTAAAAAATTAGCTCACTTCTTAATCCCCTTGGGTCTCAATAAAGATTCAGGGCAAAAAGAAAATCTTCCCTAAAAAATTAGCTCACTTCTTAATCTTCATATGAAACTGATTTATGTTTGCCTTCAAATCCCAAACAAGAATTTCCCTTCAATATTTTGATCTATACTCTCCTCTAACAGAGGGTAAGTATTACCCAAAAACAATCATTTTCAAACCTAGAAGTGGTCAACCTGCGCTTTTTCCACCAAAAAAATTTACAGGACAGATAAGGGTTGCTCAATTGGTCAGGCCTTGGGTTTGCTCCCCAATGGTCACCAGTTCGAGTCCCCTCAGGCTACTGAGGTGAGTACCCGACCGTAAACTTCAGGCCCCGTGAAATTAGTCGAGGCCCCGTGGAATTAGTCGAGGTGCGGGCAGCTGCCTGAATATCCACCGTTATCAAAAAAAAAATATTTACAGGACAGAGATGTAAGATAATCAACCCTAACCCCGAAATAGATCAACAAGAATTTCATACAAGCTCCACACAAATAAAAATTAAAAATCTTTAACTAATAAAAGCCCTAAAATATATAACATGAAAATAATAAGAAGTTGGTCCTTTTTAAAGTTTAATAACCTCAAATAATTACACAGAACCAATATCACAGTAAGTTCAAATTTTCACATTCTCAGAACCAAAATCATATTTTCGTAATCATGAAAACCAAATACTTTCAAAAAAGAAGAGAAAAAATTTATTTTTTATCAACTTAAAACCCTAAATTACCACTACACTCAAATTTTTTTTTTTTAGTTGAATTTCACCCTTCCCCCAGATGAGACTCCTCGATCTAGCAACACTCAGAATTGTACTGAACCCTATACGAGTTGTACAGAATTCACTGAACCCTAACAGGAATAACGGTCTCGAGTTAAAAAAAAAATTAAAAATTACATACCTATACGAGTCACGTGGAATTTATAACATAGGAAAAAAAATTACACAGTTTCCTAACCTTCACGAGAAAGATCGGGCTTGATGTTACCGGAGGCCAAGGCAAACGATGAATCGTCCCGGTGCTGATCACCGCCAATGAAATTGTACTGAACCCTAGCCGCTTGCTGCATATTCAGGTTGTACTGCCGAGGATCACTCTGCAACGAGAGCATTGCTTAACGGTTTCACAAATCACCGTGAAATCCCTACTAATTTATAAAAAATTACCACGGAAAACAGAAATCCACCATAGGACGGAATTACAGCAAGGAAAATCAATTTTCAGAGACAATTAGAAATTCTCAGCCCTCTAAAGAGCTAAGAATTTGAGAAAATATAAAGAAAGAAAATTCAGAAAAAGCAAATTCGGGAAAGAACCGAATGGAATAGAATAGAATCAACTTTTGCTTTCGGTTGCCTAATGAACACTGATTTTTGTGGGATTTTGTTATTGCCACTCCTGAAAATCGTGAAAAGTCTTGTGTACCCTCAGTTGATAGTGTTAAGAATCTAAAGCACTAGCGCTATGAATGAAGGATGACTACGTCATTTTAAGTTACGAAAGGTAGCTGTCGATATAAAAAGTTGGAGCTCCTTGCACGGTGTAATATTGCCACCCAAGATAAATATTTCTAAATCCTAATTCTGTAAATATTTTTGTAATTACCAGATTACCCTCGAAATATTGTGCAATTAGTAGGGATAAAGTCCCGTAACATCTGGCAAAACGGGTACCAATTAAAATGAGTAATCCTGTTCCTCGTAGTACAAAATATTACAGCTTAGATCACTCATTCACCATTTAATGTATTACAACTTTATCGAGTAATAAATTAAGGAGCCGATTATCACCTACTTCTATCACAATCGCTATTTATGATGAATAGCATTGTTCAATGAAATTCTATACATGAGGCAATGCATATTTTTGGGTATAATTTATAATGATTTAAGGGATAATTGCAATAAGGTTTTGAACCTTTCAAACTTTTACAAATTTTATCCAGACTATTTTATTTGTAGCAATGTTGGTTTCGATGTTTTCAAATTTTTGCGACGTAAGGACCTTTGGATGATTTTCGTCCAAAAATTAGCATTTGACTATAATTCGATCAATTTTAAAAAGGGTAAAATGATCATTTGACTATTTATTAATTAAAAAGGGTAATTCGCACTTGCTGTTCCAAACTTTTAAACGTGACAAAGGTCTCAAACCATTAATAACCTCTAACGATTTTCATTCATAAATCGTCTGTTAATAAAAATATTTATCTTCTTCGATCCACACAACTATCTAACACAAACGCCTAACCCATCCAATCCACCCAATTGTAGGTGAGAGAGCCTCTGCCATGACCATTTTTCGCTATTGTTGATTTTGAAGAGAATTTAATTATTCTTAGTTATTTCTTTTCAGTTTTTAAAAGGTTCTTTTTTATGAGAAAATGTAGTTGATAGGGATGGAAACAATGGAGGCAGAGGAAATGAGGCGATGACAGTGGCTCAAGGTGTTGTGGTTGCAGCCCAAGTGATGGTGACAATTTTCAGGTTCTCCATTCAAGGCAAGAAATGTTTGTTCCATGAGTGAGTTCTAAGTTAGAGGTTGAGGTAGATAGATTGAGGATTAATATTTTAATCAATCTCAACCTCACAGCAACATCAGTCGTGGCCATTACATATTTTCCAACTTTGCAAACCCCATTTTTCGCATCCCATCAACTTCATTTCCGCAAGAATTTTTAGAGATCTATGAAGAAATTAATAAAGATATATAAATTCACCTCAAAATCAACATTAGCGTTAGAAACTTCCCACCTGCCAATGGGCTAGGGTTGGGTGGTTATGTGAATTGAAAAGGACGAATATTTTTGTAAACCAACAAATTTTAAGTATATGGGACTTTTTTTTATACAAATTACCTTTTTATATAATTAATAAAAGGTTAAAACCATTTTACCATTTTCAGAATTGGTCAAATGTTGAATTTTGGTAAACTAACAAACTTTCAAATAAAATCTATCTAAGGTTCGTTCACCGCATGAGTTTGAAAAACTTGGAATCGGTGCTGTTACAAATCAAAGATTTGGGTGAGACTTGAACGTTTGAAAGTTTTAAAATCACGACTGCAATTATCCCACATTTAATTTATAAATATATATAAAAGAGCGATGGATAGCGAATATTACTTGTGAATTTATTGGAATTATGCTTGAAAATAAAAATTGATCATTTATAAATAATTTATAAATTTTGCCACGGAGGCTATTGAGATATAATCGAATTGAATTAAAACTGGTCAATGAGGTAAACGAACGGCATCAAATTCTCATTCTTTTAGTATTCAGAACATTACATAGCCACACACATGTTGTAGCTTCCACTTTCACACCTTCGGTTCAGATGATAAAAATGCGAATTACTTCGAATAAATTAACTTAATTATTAAATTAATTGAGATATTATAAAAACTAATTTGAAACAAAATTAAAAATCAATTATGTACTTAAATCATCAACAGCATGAGAACGTTCAAATCTCGGACAAACCATTGAATTAAGTTCCTCTTTGACAACAATTATTTCAAAACTCTTTTTCCTGCATACTCATTTTAACACATATTCACATAATAAAATATTTTACCCGTAAAATCAAAATTGTTTCCTACTTTTTAACCACACATTCTGTTAATGCTTGGGGTTCCATCTTAAATAATCAATTTTGTTAAGTAGAGCAGCCAAAATCCTTAAAAGTTGGTATATGTTTCATGTTTATGCAATGTATGATTTTATGTTGGCTCATTTCAGCAGATCAATTTTGAAATTCGTGTGCGCATATATCACTCATTGGAGTTTAATGGGCTCTGATATTATTTTAAGAATTGAGATTATATCTTAAAATATCAACCGTATTGAAAGGATAACACAAATCTTTATAAGTTGATGTGAAATTTTATTCCTTAACATTCAAAAAAATTACTATCCAAAACTCATTTTTATCCTGATAATAATTATCAAACGGGATAAAGTAATCCGAATTCGATTGGTTCGGACGGTTCTACATTAAATAAGAAGAAATTGTCTGAGGGTAAAACTGTCCATGAACTCATGAAGGTAGAAAAAATAAAAGGAAAAGGTTGGATTCTATTTGTCTCCGCGTGGAAGTGGAGGTGCCTTAGATTCCATTGTTCCCACAAATTTAATTCTTACACCATCATAAAAGGGCACGTGGAGAATAAAATGATTCTAGAAAGAACTTTTAGTTGAAGACACGAATATATGTATCGATCAATTTTTGTTTGTAAGGTTGTATAATTTTTCAATTTTTTTTTTCTACAAATTTCGAATCATTTGAGCATTATTGACAAATTAGATAAAGTTGACAAAATAAAAAAATTAATTCATTTAGACATCTAACGGCTCTCTGGCCTCCTTTTTTTTTTTTTTGTAATAAATTTTGCAAAAATCAATTTTTTGGACATGTGATTAAAAACTATGCAAATTTTTTAAGATTACGAGTAAAATTATTTTATTGGAAAAATATATGATTGAAAATAAATTTGAGTAAAAATAAATTTTAAAAAATGAAACTCAAACAGTAACCTAGTCTTTCTCATTAAAACGTTTTCATTTTGTTAATATTAATTTAATCTAAGATCATTAATAATTATTTAAAGAACATTAACAAATACTTCTTTTATATATATATATATATAAAGGCAAGAACCTTTTGGTGTTTAGGCCCGCTTTATTCGTGCCTTTGTGGCACCTGCACCAAATTATTTTGATACTTTCTCCACATGTGGTGCGCCTTAATCACACGTTATGTCTAGGTCCGACCATTTTTTTTGCTTTTTAAAAAAACTAAATCATGGAGGGAAATTGTAGTAACCTTCGTTAGTTTAATCAATAATATGATGCAATTTAGCATTACTCAGTCAAAGGAAAACAAATTTGTCAATCACTGTAAATACTAAACATTAGGGATTAATTACACTTTTCACACATAAATACATAATTTATTTATAGCTAGGAGTGGGCAATGGGTCGGGTCGGGTTTGACCCAAAATCGACCTAACCCGATATACCTGGTTTTGGACTCTTTTCACTAATCGACCTGACCCGAATCGGGTCGGGTCCAGCTAGGTACAAAAATCTTAATTGTTATCAAAATCAATATGTATAATCATCAATCATTGTCAAATTTTCGCATTTATTGCTTTCTCATTTTAAGCTATTGCTCCATCTTTTCTAGAGTTACATCTTTTTTTTTTTTGACACCCAGGTATCCCAACTTATATCAGATTATGTCCTGGACCATCCATTCTCGACCCTTCAGGGATTTAACATTCAGTTAGTTTTTATCGAAAGTTTTTTTTTTATTGCATATTGCTTAATTTACTATGTTTTTCACTCACACGAAATTTATTTTGTCTCTTATACTTGCTATTTTTATACATGGTTCCAAAATTGTCTAGATTTTTATTATATGAGCATATAATTGCGAGGAATTCAATTTAAATGATGACGACATTCCTCAATAATTATTGTAACATTGCAAAAACAAGATGAAACTATCCAAAAAATTGGGCGTCATTCGAATCTCTTATTTTTTGTTTCAGTCTATGTATTTGATATGTAATTTTCTGTATCCTACCAATTTTTTTATAATTTTTTGCGTAACCCCCTATTTTTTATATAGAAACCTTACACTGAATAAATTAAA